TGATAAACATGACATGAGGAGTTTCTTTCAGGCAATAAGGGCCATTTATGGCCCATGCTCCCACACCACTCTAAGCCCAAGACGGGTCAACGTATTTTAAGGACAGCTAAGCCATCAAAGCCAGATGGAAGGAGCATTTTGAGCTACTCCTGAGCCATGAGTCAACTGTCTCTGATGTCAGTATCAAATCTATACCTCAACAACATGAAAGAGAATCTCTTGCTTACCCCTCCCGCCCCCCGGCACCCTTTAATAAGTAACGTGAACCATTATGCAAACTAAGAACAACAAGGCAGCAAGGCCAGATGGCATACCAGCTGAAGTCTACAAGTTTGGAGGTGAAGAACTGGTAGGGAAGCTCCACAAACTTTTTCTTCATATCTGGTATAATGAGAAGATTCCCGAAGACTGAGAAACGCTAACATTGTTACAATCTTTAAGAAAGGAGATAAGTCGGAGTGTGGAAACTATCAAGGCACTGCCTTGCCATCTACAGCAGGGAAAATTCTTGCCGGTATCCTCTTAAACCGATTACTTCCCCTTGCTGAGGAAATATTGCCAGAATCTCAGTGCGGTTTTAAATCATCCCTCGGGCTAACCGACATGATCTTCGTTGCCTGCCAAATCCAGGAAAAAACTTGGTGAAGCCCTGTAGAAGGTGCTGGCCAGATTTGGCTGCCCTCCAAAATTTATCAAGGTCCTAAGGCTTCTCCATGATCAGATGACTGCCACAGTTCTCTGAAATGGCCTTGAGATGGAACCTTTCATCATCAAAACTGGGGTTAAGCAAGGATGCATTGTTGCCCCTCCAACATGGCTGTACTGCCCCCAGCCCTTTCACACAGCTGCATCTTCTGCGTCCTGTCCGGGGTCTGTACAGCAGCCCTCCTGGAGGACACGGGTTGGGGGGGCGAGGCTAGGGGTGGTACAGCCGCGCCGAAGGAGCTGCCGGCATGGTGTTCTGCTCCTTTCGCCACTGTGGTTCCCAAGAGAGCCCTGAGCTGCAGGCTCTCCCAGGAACCGCAGCGGCGAAAGGAGCAGAACGTTGGGCAGCCCCATGCCGGCAGCTCCTCCAGCAAGGCTGCCTACAGACCCCAGACAGGAGTCACTAGATGCAGCTGCGTGGAAGGGCTGGGGGCGGTACAGCCGCACCGAAGGAGCTGCCGGCGTTCTGTTCCTCCTGTGTCTTTCCAGTACGGTGTACTGGCTATAAATAGCTGACTGGTACAGCATACCGGACCATACTGCCGTATTTGCACCACTACAGAACTCCTAGATTAAATCAATGGACTGAATCAATGGCATGATGTGGTCCCGTTTTTTTAATATTCAGGTTACTATCCAGCCATTCAGGAAAGCCCATCTCTAATAAAATTCTCCCTGCCTCAGCCCTGCTTCCCCCACTCACTACCCCGGGACTATGACAGCTCTGTTAAAATGCAGAAAGGAAGCCACAGATTTAACATGGACAAATGCTGAAATGCTGTGAGAGCAGACCCAAAAGGATAGAAACAAATCATTAGAATCATGTTATTTGCACTGAGAAATGTTAATGTTCATGTTCGAGGCCTCAGTGTTCTGCTTTGTCCTAAATCAACCTGGACACTAGTTCACAATTCACTAGCATACACACTTCGGAACAGAAATTCATCTAAGACACTCAAATTTGGAGACCCAACCTGATCACCTCTCCTGCCTCCTTGTCTATCACAAACCCCTGTGCCCTGCCATTTGGGCCAGCTATGGGGAGAAGGGGTCCTCATTAAAGATCATCTCCCCAATGGAGTTGACATTCAATACAGAATGGATGGGCAACTCTTTAATCTTCGACGTCTCCGCTCGAAGTCTAAAGTCTTCAGGGCGTCCATTACTGACCTTCAGTATGCTGATGATTGTGTCATCCTCGCGCACACAGAGAATGACCTTCAGTCCATACTGGATTTTCTTGCACAAGCTTACCAAAGCCTAGGACTCTCACTCAATATTGAGAAGACTAACGTGCTCTATCAACCTGCTTCAGGCCTTGCACATGACCCACCACAAATCACCATCGAGGGTCAGATTTTGGAGACAGTTGAGCACTTTTGTTACTTCGGTAGCCAACTTTCTGAAAATGCAAAAATCGACAGAGATCCAGCACAGGATCCAGTGTGCAAGTGCTTCCTTTGGGAAATTGCTCCAACGCGTTTCACAGACCATGACCTGCAGCAGGACACCAAGGTCTATAAGACAACTGTTATTCCAACACTCCTCTATGGATGCGAAACTTGGGTGAGCTATCAACAGCACCTCAAGAGTTCCGGAGAGATGCCTCCGGAAGATCCTTCGTGTCAAGTGGCAAGATTGCCGCACTAACAGCAACATTCTCGCTGAAGCCAATGTCACCAGCATTGAAGCAATGATCCTCATGCACCAACTTCGCTGGGCTGGACATTGTGTGTGGATGCCAGACTCTCACCTCCCAAAACAAATCCTCTACTCTCAGCTCACCCTGGTCAGAGATCCCGTGGTGATCAGAGAAAACGCTATAAAGATACATTTTCAGTGTATTTTAAAGAAAACTGATGTGGATATCAAGCTGGGAAGAACAATGGCTCCATATCCTCCATCAGGCAGTGGCCTGCTTCGAGGAGAAGCGCCTTGCCCTCGAAGCTGAAAAGAGAGAGTGGAGGAAGGAAAAAGAAATAACTTTGTCTCAGCAGGCCTCTGGCCTGCCACAAAATGTCTGTACCTACTGCAGGTTGATTTGCGGTTCCAGGATCAGACTCCTGAGTCATCTCAGGACCCATATGTAAATCCATGGTAGAGATCATCCTCGAATCGAGGGATCGCCAATCAATCAATCACACAATGGGTAACTGTTAGAAATGCTCTTTGATCAGTCTCCAGGATCTTGTGTCTTGGGAACAGATGGAAGAGAAGAGTCACTGAAATAGGTAGAAAAATTAAGAAACTAATGCCAAAAATCCTTAGTGTATTTAACTGAAGGACTAGGGACAGTGAGACAGTGCATGTGTTACCAATATTAACATACTGGCATCTCGTCCTGTAGGACATAGGAGCCATATTTTCCTCCCACAGTCAGGTCAGAACACCTCAAGAGGATTAGCTGTGGTTCATTCTTAAAGTCAAAGCAGAAATTAGTAATCTGCAATTTACTTTACCCATTTAATTTGACTCTAAATAGGTTTTACTTTTTCCATGCAAGAGAAAACATTAAGAGACAACAGAAAAATTCTATAAAAACCCATGAGAAATTTAAGACATCATCATTCATAATGAGCCTCAGAGCTAAGTTTAAATTTAGCTATCTAAATCCACTTGTGAGTTTAACACCTGAAGGCCAATATGATTTTGTCCACTGTGTTAGCTGAATTCGGGAATCCACAGCCATGCAGGATTTCGCTCCTTAGAGAGACAAAGCAGGTGAAGTAATAGCTTTTTTCTCTCCTTCAGAAATCTAGTAACTACCCTTGGCATTCTAGAGGGATGATGAGCCATCCTAGTGATTTTCCAGGGAAGTCACAAGAAGCTGCCAAACCCCAGAGGCACAAAAACAAAATGAAAGAGCACTAGATTCCCAGCATCTGAATTCAACCTAGCAAAAGTGTTTTAGCTACAGCTATCCAGAGTTTCAATTGTTCGTCCTCTTGAAAACATCAAGAAGGGAATTTTTTTCTGGGCTAGATACCCTTACTTGTTAAAGAGACATAGGGTGACCAGACGTCCCGATTTTATCGGGACTGTCCCGATATTTGCTTGTTTGTCCCACGTCCCGAGCAATGTTTGGTCGGGACACTGGACAAACAAGCAATTTTTGCCCTCTGCTCCGGCTCGCGCCCCGACTCCGCCCCCTCCTTCCCCCATTGGATAGCTCCCCAAATCCCTGCCCTGGCCCCGCCCCCTCACTGCCCCATTGGATCCCTCCCCAAATCCCCGCCTCTTCCCTAAGCATGCCGCATTCCTCCTCCCTACCAGGCAAGCGCTGGAGGGAGGAGGCCCGGGGATGGCAGGGTGAGTCCGGCCTGGCCTGAGCGCAGGCAGGAGGGCGGGGCGGTACCTACAGCAGGTCAGCCCCGGGTCCGGCCTGGAGAACCGGCTCCCTACGCGCCCATGGGTGGGGGTGGGGTTGCGGTTCCTCGGGGCTTCACCTCCGCCATGTGCGCCCCGGCCCTGGGGCGGAAGCGGCCGGGTCCCGAGCGGGCATAAGCCAGCTCGGTGCACGCTGGCTCTCTGGCCCCGCGCAGCGTGCACTGTAAAATCACGCAGAGCCTCCACTGCTGCTGCGCTCCATTCCCCAGTGCATGGCTGGAGCTTGAACCCGCACGGAGGGACAGGTCAGGTGTGAGCGGGGCTGCGAAAGCCTTGCCTTGGACCCTGACTGTGAAAGCCCCTGCTCCCCCAACTCCGGGGGCCACCACTCTGAGGGGATTGCATGGGGGGGGGGGGGGAGATGAGGCATGCGGGGGGGGGCACGCCCCGGTTTTTTTTTTTCCCCCCCCCGCCGCCGTTTTTTTCCCCCCCCCCCCCCCGTGTCCTGATATTTCAGTTGTGTCATCTGGTCACCCTAAGGAGACAATAAAAAATCTTCAAGGTCGTTCTGCAGACGGACTAAGTTTGAATGGAGTAGATCAGGGATGAGACTTCAGGGCCAGACTAGCAATGACCACTTCTTCTATTAATGTCCACTTTATATTTTTCTTTCAAAAACTCGATTCAAGTGAACAAAGAGCAGGCAGATCATTAAGTCTCTTGCCTGACACATTTTCACATTGTATATGGAAATAAGTTCCAAGAGAAATAATAGGTGAGATGCTTAAACTGGCCCATTTTCCATACTTCTGATTAAGTAGTGTAAAAGAAAATCTCTTGAGAAATGTAGGAAACATGCTCCTTTGTGGGGGGGGGGGAAATCACATCTCACTATACAATTTTAATAACCAGAGTATTTCAAAAGAGATAATTTCGAACGGCATCAACAGAATGCTAAGACTACTTACCAGACAGTCTCCATGAACTCAGGATATAGAGTTTTATAGTCATTGTCAAAGTCAATCCAGCGTCCCAGTCTGGTAATGCTCATCTGTTAAAATATGAACATACAGCTTTAAAGGCAGCTTAAAACAAAGATCATGGTACATTTCCCAGATTTATCTCTTTGTAATAGCTTGTTTAAAAAGCAACATGTTCTACCCCTATCAGTGAACCAAGCCCACAAAACAGTCAAGCCTGACAATGGTTCAGGGTAGAGCACTTTATCTAGCATGGAGTATGCCAAGAAAAGGTCATGAATACAGGCCTTTCCTTAAATTCAAAGCCATGCAATACAGAAGCATCTACTCACTGCAACTAAACTTGGAGATTGAGAGTGTATTGTAGCTGGTGGGTCAGATCTTTGCTCAGCATACTGCCAAACGATTCACCAGAAACTTGGCTTTGCCTGCACTAGTTTTGTTTTTGATCATAACCATGTATCTGCTATGGCGATAGTCAAAATGGGGAGAAGAACAGAGCTTCACAGTTCTCTCCATTTCTACAGAGTTATAGTCTGAGAGCTCTGAACATTTATCTAAATCAGAGCTGGAAAAGCCACTGTGTAGACACTGTACAAAATTATTTCAGGACCAGCTGCCTCCTCTGGCCTCCCTATACTTGGAAGCCACATTGCTAAAGCCACAAGGACTCGACAAGTCTTTGCTTCATATCTACTCACACAGAGCACATAAGTCAATTAATGAGTAAGTTACATGAACATTATGCTTCACTTTGATAAGTGATATCCTTTTGTTGGGTGGGTAGCTATGCAATCTGCCAACTTTGCAACATGACCAAAAACAGGATAGACCTTTCCTGATATTGATATATGTTGGTACAGTAAGAGTCAAACTACATTTATTCCTGCAATCAAGTAGATGCACATCTATAAAGATTCACCATCACAATCAAGCTACATACACAAAAAATGCTGACAAGTTTTGTGGGTACAAACTGACCAAAATTTGTGATGTACGCACAATGTTCTTGGTCAATGTTTTATCGAAGTTAAAATCTTAGTCCTTTTCAGATTTAACTTTTATTCACATTGAAACAGTGGATCTCAATTTGAGAGTTTGCTCTCTCTAAATTCCCTTTGATGTCACCACACAGTAACATCCAGACATTGCGATTTAATAGTGCGTCATCAAGACAATGCCATGCAATTTCACAACCCCTTGCCTCAATTCCTTATGACTCGTTCTGAAATGCAGATGCCAGGACCCATCTCCTGGGCAGTAGGGACTCTGGCAGCTTAAGTACTTTATCTCAGAAGGCAGAGTTGGGAGTGCTGCTGTCATAGGTGAACACTGTTAGCTCTGCTCTATTTTTCCTCAGGCGCAGCAAAAGTAGTTCCACCATGTCCTACTGAATTGCATAAGAATTGCATGCAATTTTAGACACACAGGCAGAGTTAATACTGACATTCTACTTACCCTCCATTCTGTAGAGTATCTCATCACAATCCCCCTGCACTGATTGTTATATTCCGCAATACCCATTTTGGCCACATCCTCTGGCCCTTTGATTCCTAGTGTTTTGTCAATTTCATACTCCTAGAGAGGAGGAGGAGGGGAGGGGAAAAAAAGAATCAATACATATTGCAGTGCGAAATCTTCAGGATTTTCCAGTTCATTAATTTTTGTCCCAGCCCTATGGCTATACAAATGCATCCAAAGCCCCAGACTCAAATCTGCATGTGCAAGTTTCTCATACAAAAAAGCATGTATATTTGAGCTCCTATTTCGCATGTACAGGGTTTTCTCCTCCCACAACCATTACCTGTACTCACATGCACAATAACACCAGTAATGGATGAATCTGTCCTTCAGAAATAAGGGCTGTCATAAACAAAGTCAGTCAATAAACGGTCATCCTTTGCATGGTAACTACTAACAATAGGCTTGCATAGCTACCTGTACTTTGCACAGCAAATTTACAGTTTATTGAATCATTTGCTTTGGAACATGCCAAATTTCTAAATGACATGCTAGTCCACTAAAGTTATTACTAGGGATTACTCATTCAGTTTCCCAGGATCTAATTTGGGATGCAGGGGCCAAACAAAAAATACATACCATGCAAAGGTACTCCACGTACAAAGGAGATGATAGAACCAAAAGGGATTCCTATAGTACCTTTTCATGGACAATTCAAAACCACTACACAAGGAGGGGAATTTAGATATTTCAGTGTAATGTAAAAGTCACGAACAAAGCAGAACATTCAGCTCCATTATAAGTGACTGATGGGCTCCCAAGCTAACCAAATCCTCATGGGTAACAACAGAAAAAAGGACTCAAATGGAGGTCTCCATCAAGGTTTTAGAGCAGAGGTCTCCAAAGTGGGGCGTGCACCCCGCTGCGGTAGCATGGAGGACCGTGTGGGGGGAGCACGGTAGGGCCTGGGCCATCCCCTACAGGGGCAGGGAGGGAGCGCCATCCAGCCCCTCGCCACCCCCAGCTCTGCTCCAAGTTCCAACCCCAGCCACATTCCTGGCTCCCAGGCCTGCGCGCTCCTGGCCCCAGCCTCGGCCACGGCTCTGTTCTAAGGCTGGGGGAAAGGCCAGGAGCGGAGCTGCTAAGGCTGCGGGAAAGGCCAGGAGCGGAGCTGCACCTGGCCGTGGGCCTGGCTGACAGCCCCCACCGCAGCCCAGCTGTGGCTCTGCTCCTGCCCTGACTGTGGCCTAGCTCCCAGCCCCAGACCCTACCCCAGCTGCAGCCCCCTTATCCCGGTCCACGTCTCCACGCCCCCCAGCCATGGCCCCGCTCCCAGGCCCAGCTCCAGAGAGGCCGGGGGGGGGAGAAGAGCGACAAGACCCTCAAAAGTTTGGGGACCGCTGTTTTAGAGGAATTCTGGGGGGTTAATAGAGGAGGGCAGGGAAGAGGACGTAACGAATTATCCAGATGCACAGATAACCATATTCAAAGATCAAGATAGCAAAAAGATCTGCAGGATCACTTATTGCACGTACCACAGGTAAACCATGACAATCCCATCCAAATCTTCTGTCAACATAAAAGCCACTCTGGTGAGCAAATCTGGTTACTACATCTTTAATGGTTCCTGCAAGAATGTGGCCATAGTGTGGAAGCCCAGTTGCAAATGGAGGGCCATCATAGAAAGTAAATCTGTGAAACAATAGGCAATATAAATTATTAGTTCAAAATCAGCCCTCACAAAACAGGAAGACCATTCCTCTGTGCTTGTGCTGCTCCTGCTTATATGGCTCCACAAGTTGTATAGTAGAACCTCATAGTTATGAGCACCTTAGGAATGGAGTTTGTTTACAACTCTGAAATGTTCGTAACTCTGAACAAAACATTATGGTTGTTCTTTCAAAAGTTTACAACTGAACATTGATTTAATACAGCTTTGAAACTTTACTATACAGATGAAAAATGCTGCTCTCTCTCTCAAATACAAACTACTAAAAAAGAATTAACAGTAATGTACTGTAATTTTTTTGTCTCTGCTGCTGCCTGATTGTGTACTTCTGGTTCCAAATGAGTATGTGGTTGACTGGTCAGTTCGTATCTGTGGTCTTTGTAACTCTGAGGGTTCTACAATACCAGCACCAGAGCTAAAACTGATGTGAACTCTGCCCGTGTTATTGTTGTTTTTTCTCCCTCTCCTCCTCTCTCCATTTTATATATATATATATATATATAAAAAAATATATATAACACACACACCTTCAGGAAGAAAAAAAAGAAAAGGTAATAACATGGAAAGTGGTGCTGGCTTAGATAGAGTTCTAAAAGAAGGCAGCAGCTGTAGTATGAGTGAACAAGCAGAAGGGAGAAGAGCTACAGGTAAATAAGCTCTTTATTTTCATGCATACTAGTTGTATCTTTTATGCCGCTTTTTACCTTGGTCTGTTTTTTGACTGTTTCAGGCATTCCTGAAAACAATCAAGCGTGTTCCAGAGATTCAGTATCTTCTCTTCCTCCTGAGGAAAATTTATGTTTTCTGCAACTTGCTGAACCATTCTTTCCCCTATAAGGATCAAACAATATCACGTAGAAATGAGTTTTGATTTTCAAGACAGAATAAGCAAGGATAAATAGCTTCTCAATACAGTACACTATGCCATTAGAAAAGAATCTCATAGTATATACGACCATATCACAGTATGATTCTTGATCACAGCTTAGGAGCTTGTTTCAAAATACAGGCGAGTCCCATCTTACGCTGGGGTTACGTTCCGCTGCCAGCGTGTAAAGCAAAAGTCGCGTATAGTCAAAATTCCATTGAGTGTAATGGCGGGCGGAATCGCCCGCCCTACAGTACAGGTATTAAAATTTTTTTTTTTCTTTTTTTTTTTTTTTTTTTGCCGACCGCGCAAAGCTGAATTCGCACGTTACATGTGCGTAAGATGAGACTTGCCTGTAGTCACTAAGGTAGCAGTCTGTTCTAAATACACTATGAAGTATTTTCATGTTTCATGGTGATACAATAGTATGAGGAAGTGGTCCGCCATTTACTCTCGGTTATGTTCATTGTTGGTTTGCCACTGGGTTTCCTTGGCTACTTAAAACTAAATGCCTTTTCAAATTTTCTTCCAGATTTGAAGGAACACTTCCATGCAAAACTTACAAAATTGTGCTTTCCCCCTTTAGTCAGGTTGTGATTCTCCCCAGCATCAAAAAGCAGATCAAATTCAACACTTTAAATTTAGAGATCTGAGCTGGCTCCCAAATCAGCTTTTAAACTAACATGGCAATGTAAAAGAGAGTACAATAGATGTGTGGTGAAAGATGAGGATGGAAGGGTCTGGACAAGGAGACAGGGAATTAGATCAGTGGTAAGAAAGAAAAGTGGAGAGCAACAATTTCTATCTGCCTTTGCAACCAGAACTGTTCAGTAACATCTTCCTGCCATTGTTCATTACTTTTCTCCTTTTGCTCCCCATTATTTGGAGGTAAGACCTCCACTATGCACCTTGGGAGTTGGTGAATGGCTCTGACAAATTCTAATCAACCTGTTCGCCTAATTTTCAGAGGCGGAGTTCTCTGCTCACAGAAAAATCAAGCCAAAGTTTTCAGCCAACAGCCCATTCTTGCTTATTCCTGGCAATTCCCTGAAGAACTAAAAAACACCCAAGTGTAAAAGTCAGAGCCCAAAGCTGTACTCTAATTCTGAGTCAATGACTCACTATAAGGACAATTATTTCTCACTCACAAACAAGATTTCTCCAGCATATGGAGATGCAATAGTGCTAGAATATTTGACCATTAGAAATACATGAGTATGTGACACAGACATTCAGGTCTGAACACAAAAGATTTCACAAAACATCTACATAAATTTGTAGTGAGTGCTGGGGTGGAACCCGTGCTTATGGAACATACTGGTACCAATGACACAGGGATATTCAGGAGAAATCCTGTCTGCTTAAGTGGCTGTGGAGATAGATGAAAGCTTCTTCCCTTCTTCACCTGTCTCTATTCTTTTAGTCCTCCCCCCCCTCACCCCCAAATAATTCCAATATCTGCTGCTACTGCTCTGGGTTTCCCAAACCACAGCAAAAATGAAACAGTCAGTATTTGTTTTCATTGTTGCCCCAGGTTTGTGAATCACAGAACTGAAAAGACAGAGCCTTGTTAATTGTATTTAGTCTTGTCAAGTACCAGCAATGAGAAACATGAGAAGCACTACTCAGGAAGACAGCATCAATTCATGATCAAAAGGGTTATTTTTACAGCTATAAAATCCAGAAGCTTCATTTTTTTAAAACATGAAAGTTTAAATGCTGCAGAAAATGACAGCTTAGCCTGTCCACCCATCATTCTCAAAACACATCCAAGAACCACTCACCTAAGTGAGGTGGAAGGTGAATTTTTCAATCCCTGATTTGAACTATATTCGTAACACTAAGGGTGGCTCATTTTCCTCTATAATAATCATATTTCCTCAGAAATACATGGCCCTTTTAGGAGGAGATATGCCACATATCTTTCACATGTTTGGGGCCAGACTGTGTCTGACCCCTGTGCAAATGTTGGAGGGAGGTAAAGCACCCAATGACACATAAAGGGAGTCCTTGTGCTCAGAGTGCAAAGATTCCACGGAGCTGGAGATGATGAAAGTGTTTTTCTGTGCAAAGGACATATGAAGGAGGCAGGTCCACGCCCCAACAAGGCCAGCCAGTAGAGCCAGTTGACAACTGACAAAGATCCACAGAACCTTGGTGTAGTAGCTATGCATTCCAGGAAGTACCTCCTTAGAGAAAAGCGTCTCTTGGGACAGCACGACTCTGCGCCATCTCCAGTACATGGCTTAATGCCACAATTTAACCCTGGTTATTGCTGTAGCACAAAGTCATCTTCTGGTACATAGCTCACCAGGGAAACCACTAGATGAAGATTATAAGGAGCCTTGAACAAGGCAATGTTTTTCTGTATTCTAACAAGGCTAGCAATAACCCTAGATCAGCATTTCTCAAATGCAGCAACCATGGCCGCATTCGGCCACCAGGGGCTTTTCTTGTGGCCACAGTATCTTGAGTGGTGATTTGGGGAAAAGGAGGAGCAAAGCAGCAGCCCCTCCTCTGGGGCTGCTAGGAGGGGTTGAGCCTTGCTCCCCTTTGGAGCCACAAACACCGGAGGAGCAGACAGCTGGTGTGAGTTGCCCACCTTCCCAGGGCGGTGGGGCTCAGGCGTCTGACTTCCGCCCTAGTGTGGCGGGCAGCAGGCTCCGGCTGCATGCGCCTGCCACGGGCTATGACCGCGGGGCTTTGGCTACTCAGCGCTAGGCTCCATCCCTCGGCCACAGGACTCAATCCCTGGGCTCACCAGCCCTCTCATTGCCACTGCTGCCTCCCTACCTAGCTCCCCATCCAAGTCTTAATTTGTTCCCCAGCTTGCCAGGGCTAAGTAAGTCTACTGCAAAAAGTCATATTTGTATATTTGTTAATATCACTTTTTACTGCTTCCCAGCTAGCTAACAAGTCTGCTGCTCTGAAAAATGATATTAACAAACATATAAATATCACTTTTCACAGAAGCAGACTTACTAGCTAGCAAGCCTAAAAAATGCAGCCAAAAAAAGCAAGAGAAACAATAATAAAAAAATACAAGAACATGCAGAGCACCTTATTTGTGTTTCTATTCTGTTTAGGTCCACTAAAGAATAGAGACAACTGTACGTTATTTTTATTACTGAGTCTGCAAAAAAAAAAAAAAAAAAAAAACACCACATAAATAAATTACCATGATGTGAACATATACATGTGCATATTTATTTGTTCTTTTCTAAAGTAAATTAAGTATTTTATGAAAAATTGTCTGAGCAGTTACCAGCAAGAGTTCGTGGCCACACTTTGAGGCCACCAAAAAAATTGTTGTGAGAACCCCTGGCCTAGACGTTAAGACTTAATTAATATAAATAACAATACTTCACACTTCTGCAGCAGTTTCCACCCTAGGATGTTGGAGTGCTTTACAAACATTAATTAGCTCCATGTCACTATTGGAGGAAGGGATCATCTATGTTTTCCTCACAGCCCCAAGGTCACACAGCCATTTAGTGGCTGAAGTGAAAATAAAACCAATATTTCCCAAATGCAAAGCCTTCTGCTTTAATCGCTACACACGCTCTCTCAAACACAATGGTTCCTCTCATTGGCAGCAAATACAAACACACTAGGCATCTGCACTCATTGCTAACACCAGGAAACCCAGTCTTTCAAAACTATAAGTTTACTCAGTATCTGCCATGGTGATCTTCTCTGAATGAAGTCATCAATTCCTCATGACTCACTATAGTACATATTTTAAACGTTTTTTGTTCACAAGATACTAATAAAATGTAACTGTAATCGGGCTATGGAGGCTGCTAAGATATCACAGACTCCATGCATAAACCACAGTATTACTTTTGGCCCATTTTTACTAACTGGAGCACTGTACCAACACAACAGTTTCCAGTAACCACAGGGCACACATTCACCTGCATAGCAGAGACTTTCTATTTTTAACAGCACAAAGATATTTTACCTGAATTGATGGAAGTCTAATGTTTCAGAGCTGTGTAGAAAAACCATTTAATGGGCAAGATCAGTGATATAGTAACTCCTCATTACAGGTCAGTTTTCTCAATTTGCAGGACAAAAAATTAATTGCGATTAATCGCACTGTTAAACAATAGAATACCAATTGAAATGTACTAAATATTTTTGGATGTTTTTCTACATGTTCAAAAATATTGATTTCTATTACAACACAGAATACAAAGTGTACAGTGCTCACTTTATATTATTTTTTATTACAAATATTTGCACTGTAAAAACAACAAAATAAATAGTATTTTTCAATTCACCTCATACAAGTACTGTAGTGCAATCTCTATCATGAAAGTGTAACTTACAAATTAGATATTTTTTGTTACGTAACTGCACTCAAAAACAACAATGTAAACTTTAGCACCTACAAGTCCATTCAGTCCTACTTCTTGTTCAGCCAATCGCTAAGACAAATAAGTTTGTTTACATTTACAGGAGATACTGCTGACTGCTTCTTATTTACAATGTCACCTGAAAGTGAGAACAGGCGTTCGCATGGCACTTTTGTAGCCGGCGTTGCAAGGTATTTACATGACAGATATGCTAAACATTCATATGTCCCTTCATGCTTCGGCCAGCATTCCAGATGACATGCTTCCATGCTGATGATGCTTGTTAAAAAAAATATGCGTTAATTAATTAATTAAATTTGTGACTGAACTCCTTGGGGGAGAATTGTATGTCTCCTGTTCTGTTTTACCTGCATTCTGCCATATATTTCATATTATAGCAGTCTCGGATGATGACCCAGCACATGTTCGTTTTAAGAACACTTTCACAGCAGATTTGACAAAACGCAAAGACGGTACCAATGTGAGATTTCTAAGGATAGATACAGCACTCGACCCAAGGTTTAAGAATCTGAAGTGCCTTCCAAAATCTGAGAGGGACGAGGTGAGGAGCATGCTTTCAAAAGTCTTAAAAGAGCAACACTCTGATGTGGAAACTACAGAACCCAAACCACCAAAAAAGAAAATCAACCTTCTGCTGGTGGCAGCCGACTCAGATGATGAAAACGAACATGCGTCGGTCCTCTCTGCTTTGGATCGTTATCAAGCAGAATCCGTCATCAGCATGGACGCCTGTCTTCTGGAATGGTGGTTGAAGCATGAAGGGACATATGAACCTTTAGCGCATCTGGCACATAAATATCTTGCGATGCTGGCTACAACAGTGCCATGCAAACGCCCGTTCTCACTTTCAGGTGATATTGTAAACAAGACGTGGGCAGTATTATCTCCTGCAAACTGTCACCAAACTTGTTTGTCTGAGCAATTGGCTGAAGTAGGACCAAGTGGACATGTAGGTTCTAAAGTTTTACATAGTTTTATTTTTGAATGCAGTTATTTTTTGTACATACTTCTACATTTGTAAGTTCAACTTTCATTATAAAGAGATTGCACTACAGTACTTGTATTAGGTGAATTGAAATATACTATTTCTTTTGGTTTTTACAGTGCAAATATTAGTAATCAAAAATAAGTATAAAGTGAGCACTGTACACTTGGTATTCTGTGTTGTAATAGAAATCAATATTTTTGAAAAATGTAGAAAAACATCCAAAAATATTTAAATATATGGTATTCTATTATTGTTAACAGTGTGATTATTGCAATTAATTTGTTTAATCGTGCGATTAATCATGATTAATTTTAATTGCTTCACAGCCCTAATTATGATATGTTTTGTGTAAAGTATGCCTTGTGAGGTATTATTCGAGAAGTCATGATCTGTTTAACATTACTATCCTCTGAAGTTATGAAGTTTTGCTACATGCTTGTTACTGAAATATGTTGAAAGTCCAGGAGATGCCCACAGCTAGACTTTTAGTGGCAACAAAGGAGCAACTAACAACCCCAACACAGATTTACATAAGGACTACCCTACTATGTGTTGATGGCCCACTAAGGACAATCTACTCTCCCAGTGGGCCCCTCCCAAAGACCCCTGAGAGAACACAATGGGGGCTGTCTAGCCCCCGTGACCAGCAATGATCTTTCCAGCACCTGGAAGAGAGTTTAAAATGAAGGGGCAATGCCATCACCACTTGACCGCTCTCCTCTCCCACCTAGTCTGAAGGCAACAAGAACTTTGGGAAGAAAAAGACTTTGAACTGGGGAGATTGGTCCCAGGCTGAAAAGGGAATTCAGCCTGTGTACTAAGAACTGTAAGCAGCCTGCAACATCCAGGAGGATGAGAAAAACTGCTTGATTCAAGTCTTGCTTAGTCTGATAAAGTTTAGGACTTAGACAAATTTTATCTTGTATTTCTTATATAACCAACCGCGACCTCTCTGTCTACCACTTATAATCTAACTTTCTGTAGTTAATAAACTTATTGTGATGTTTAACCATAAACAGTGAGTTTGTCCTAAGTGCTTGGGGTATCTGCTCAGATTACAAAGGCTGGTGCATGTCCACTATCTTTTGATGAAGTGGCGAACTAATTAATGAGTCTGCATTGTTCAAGAGAAGGTCTTGAGCAGTGTGATATGGTACATTTCTGAGGTGCGAGGCTGGGTCAGGGAGCGAGATGGGGGGAGTTTGCTGGTCTCTCCCTGTGTGCAGTTCATGAGTTGCTTAGAGAACATTCATGCAATTTGGCTGGGTGTGTCTCCGCATGTTGCTGGCTGAGTGATCACAAAACCTGGAGGAGTTTGCTGCTTGTCACTAACATAGCATTTTAAGGGACAGCCCAGCCCAGACTGGAGAGTTAAGGGGGAACAGTGGTCCCACAGGTCAAGGTTGTACCCCAGGGATCTGTAACAAGGGTCTTAACCAGAATGATGATAAAAGCTGTATGGATTTTGGCTCTACATTTACTGGTCAAAACAGTTTTTGTTTTTAATATCTATCATTCTGCTGGCATGAAAGCATGAAACCAAGCAAGCTGAATTTTTCAGAGTTTAACTGACTTCCTAAACGAGAAGTTCTTTTCAAAAGGTTACTTCTGTCTCCAAAAATGTTTTAAAAGCAGTGTACACTGGATCTTTCAGAATTGATACCAAGAGGAAACCTTGCACCGTAAGTGAAGAACTTAACCTGCCACCCACTACTGATGCTGCTAAAATCATATAAGTAAAAAGAGATATAGTTAAAATGCCATCAAATCTCCCATACAAGTCAGGCATCAATTTCGATAAAATAGCTCAGGACAGAAAACCCCAAGCAACCAAAAAGATATACACAAAGCAACAAAAACGACATGATTACTTTCTGAGTCTACAGATGTAACTTTGCAGGCAGAAATTATTGTTTTTTGCTAGTGATGAGAGAGTATTTTATCTCTCTATACCTACTTTTGGTGAGACAACATTTCCACACAGAATGAAACACTAAACTATGCGTTAATTATTTAAGAAAGAAATACGATTTTGCCATATTTTTTTTTATATATATATAAAAATATATGCATGCATACATTTGTACGAGTACTATGATTTGGCTGTCTCTCTTATGTCTTCTTTACTTCACTATTTAGTGCTATTACTGAATAGTAACAAATTAAATGTAAACAACATACTACTAGGAAATAAATTTTTAACATACTTTTTAAAAAGGAGACAACATTCAGTGGGAATGGCGTTCTTCAATCTGTACTGATGGTGCTACAGCTAACATAGACAAATAGCAGCCTTCGTACCTAGAACAGGGAAACACAATTACATAGAATCATAGAATATCAGGGTTGGAAGGGACCTCAGGAGGTCATCTAGTCCAACCCCCTGCTCAAAGCAGGACCAATTCCCATAAGCATTAAAATCAGGAGCCTACTAAAATTCTATTTAAAATAAATCAATAATTTAATTATACCATAAATTAATACAATTCAAATAATTTAGCATGGTGGATTTAACATATTTCAGTCACTGTGTGGGTTGTGAACTAAAAAAAGATTACAGATCACTTTTTGCCATAGCTGCAATGCAAAGAATTTAAAATGAGGAAAAAGTAAAATATTGCAATCAGAATACTTTATGTACATTTTTATCACTATCAGTTAGTTTCTAAAGTCCTATAGAACCCTAACTATAGCTCTGATCCAAAGATTCCCACTGACTTCAGCTATCTTGGAGTCAAGTTCCACATCACCTTCCTATGTCATGATGTGATCATTCATGCTCTATTCATCTTCTCCCACTCTCTAGTCCATGCCTGATTCCGCATGTATGAAATTCCCTCCCCAGGCTAGTTCAAATCTCCACCTTCCTCTTATACAAACACCTCCTGAAGATTGACATATGAGTAAATTACTTAAAAAAAAAAAAAAATACAAGTCTCTTTTAGGCTGAAAACTCTTTGAATCACAGTGCTGAGCACATTCTCTGAGTTAAGCAAATGAAATACTACCACATCTCAACACTGAAAATCCACCACTGCTAGAACTGAGAGTAAGAGCCAGGTGGACAACCTGTGAACAGCACAGTTTAACATGTGCATGTGGAGAGGGAATTGTCCAACAGCAAAGGATATCATAGGATCTTTGATTGCCACACAGCCAACTTGCTTTTAAATGTCTTACACTAAAGAGTCACGTGGAGAATAAAACAATAACACAATGTATCTGTTTCATCAAGAAGAAGGACTCAGCCAGCCATACCAGGCTCTCAACATGCAGTTCCAGCATGTATTTAAAATCTTATGCTTAGACCATAAAACCCATCTCTTCTGGCTGAGTTATTCTGTTCCATTCTAAGTAGCATTGTACACAACTCATCACATAGCTGCTAATTCAAGGTTAACCTTGTAGAAAGTTTTCCATAAATGATTTTTCTTCCCGCACTAGAACTTTCCAGATAGCCACCCAGAAACTTTGTGCGATACTCCAACATATTTAGGTTGCACCTACACTAGGAAAAATTGGAAAACAATCCTTCCTCAAAACAGCTTGGCTAGTGGTAGCAACGGTGGAGACTGTAGTATAGGATGTGGACCTTTTCACCCTACTTAGAGCAGAGGTAGATCATGTGGTGGTAGATATGCCTAAACCTTGTCTAAAGCTTATAACAAAGCAACTCCTGGTAAAACTGCAGGAGTGATAAATTAGGGATCCCAATTTTCCTACAGCAAGCTATACCTAAAATAGCACTCTCTGTGTTTTATCTCTACCAATTAGAGATTTAAACTTATTATGATTAAAGTGAGTTTTTGAATCCCAATCTGGGAAAATGACTGAAATGCAAGCAGAGATTTATGGCAGAACCCAGAAAGGGAAGAACAAAAAGGACTTGATTTCATCCCAGTAAGACATCACACAAGATGCAACTTGTCTAAAATAACTATAGCCACATTCCTTCCAGAAATAATGTTGAAATGCCTCAGAACACATAGTATTTCTTTAATTGGTCCTATGATAAAGGCCAAACTGTTAAAGAAATGTATAAAGTTTACACCTACCTACCTAAAAATCCCTGCATAGAGTTACTTCAATTTATCTCTTCATCCTACAACTACCGTTGCAAATTTTTCATTCTTTATATTAGCTTGATCAAACAAACAAAACCAAGAGAGATCCTTCATTGAAGGGACTGACAGCTCTGCAGTGACTGCAAGTCACTCCATCTAACAGATAAAAAACAATGGCCAAGATTTGGTTAATGCTATAGTTCTTATGATATTGCTATTCCTGATACATGGTAAAAGAGCCTCCATCACCTGACAATAGCCTCATGTCATCTCACCAACAAAAAAAAAGTATTAAAAATCCCAACTATACGTATAAAATGATAGGGTCTAAATTATCTGTTACCACTCAAGAAAGATCTTGGAGTCAGTGTGGATAGTTCTCTGAAAACATCTACTCAATGTACAGCAGCAGTCAAAAAAGCAAACAGAATGTTGGGAATCATTAAGAAAGGGATAGATAATAAGACAGAAAATATCATATTGCCTCTACTTAAATACTTGGTATGCCCACATCTTGAATACTGCACGCAGATGTGGTCGCCCCATCTCAAAAAAGATATATTGGAATTGGAAAAGGTTCTGAAAAGGGCCAAACAAAAATGCTTAGGGTATGGAGCATTTGCCGTATGAGGAGAAATTAATAAGACTGGGACTTTTTAAGCTTGGAAAAGAGATGACCAAGGGGGGCATATATTGAGGTAAATCTATAAAATCGTGATTGGTGTGGAGAAGTGTTATTTACTCCTTCTCATAACACAAGAACTAGGGGTCACCAAATGAAATTAATAGGCAGCAGGTTTAAAACAAACAAAAAGAAGTATTTCTTCACACAACACACAATCAACCTGTGGAACTCTTTGTCAGAGGATCTTGTGAAGGCCAAGACTATAACAGGGCTAAAAAAAGAACTAGATAAATTCATGGAGGATGGGTCCATCAATGGCTATTAGCCAGGATGGGCAGAAATGGTACTCCTAACCTCTCTTTGCCAGAAGCTGGGAATGGGAAAGAGAGATGGATCACTTGATGATTACCTGTTCTGTTCATTCCCTCTGGGGCACCTGGCATTGTCCACTGTCGGAAGACAGGATACTGGGCTAGATGGACCTTTGGTCTGACCCAGTATGGCCATTCTTAAAGATGCTTATTCCAGATCAAAGGAAACAAGTAACTACATTCTACAGATCTTTAAAAATACCAGTGAGTAAAGAATCAATATCAAATCCATGGAAGGTTAGTAAAAAATGAGGCATATTAAGATCTCATATTTCTAAAATTAAAGGCATTGACAATTTAAAATTCCCATATATTAAACAGATATCTTTACCATCCGTGCATTGTTTGCCACTTGAACATTGCAGTTTTGGGAACCTCAAAAAGAAACTGATCATAAAAGCCATGAAACTGGCTTCATTGATTTTCACTTTCCAAGCTGAGAGAAACATATAAAGCAAGTAGCAATTATAAGGACAAAATTGGACTTTCTAAAACATTAGTTTTAATAACTTAAAAGTTATTACCAATGCATGTTTCCTTATAATGCAATATTTGGACTACTGTATTCATTATTAGCAGTTTCCCTTTACTCTCGGGGATAAAGGTTAAGAACATAAGAACGGTCATACTGGGTCAGACCAGTGGTCCATCTAGCCCCATATCCTGTCTTCTGACAGTAGCTAATGCCAGCTGCTTCAAAGGAGAACAAACAGAAGAGGGCAATCAAGTGAGCCATCCCCTGTCGTCCAGTCCTAGCACCTGTCAGTAAGAGGCTTAGGAACAACCAGAGCATGGACTTGTATCCTGGACATCTTGGCTAATAGCCATTAATGGACCTATCCTGCATGAAGGTCTGTAATTCTTTTTTGAATCCAGTTACAGTTCTGGCCTTCACCTCATCCCCTGGCAACAAGTTCCACAAGTTGACTGTGTGCAATACTTCCCCTTGTTTGTTTTAAACCCACTGCCTATTAATTTTATTGGATGACCCCAGGTTCTTGGGTTATGTGAAGAAGTAAATAACATTTCCTTATTCACTTTCTCCACACCATTCACGATTTTATAGACCTCTATCATATCCCTCCTTAGTCATCTCTTTTCCAAGCTGAATAGTTCCAGTCTTTTTGGTCTCTTCTCATACAGAAGCTGTTCTATACCCTTAATCATTTTTGTTGCCTTTTTTGTATCTTTTCCATTTCTAATATACTTTTTTGAGATGGGGGTGACGAGAAATGCGTGCAGTATTCAAGGTGATGGATGGGTGTACCATAGATTTATATAGTAGCATTATGATATTTTCTGTCTTATCTAGCCTTTTCCTAATGGCTCCTAAGATTTTGTTAGCTTTTTTTTTTTTTTTGTTTGTTGCAGCACATTGAGCAGATTTTTTTAGAAAACTATCCAGGATAACTCCATGATTTCTCTGTTGAGTGGTAACAGAGAATTTAAACCCCATCATTTAACATATATACTTGGAATTATGTTTTCCGATGTGCATTACTTTGCATTTATCAACATTGAATTTCAGCTGCCATTTTGTTGCCCTGTCACCCAGGTTTGTGAGAGCCCTCTGTAACTCTTCACAGTCTGCTTTGGACTTAACCATCTACCCCCTCAAAAACTGGGCACAGACACACCCCTGCCTAATCTTCCTTCCGTTACTACCACAAACCAAGAACCCCTTAAGAGGCAGGCACTCACAGCCTCCCCTACAGGGTCCTGCGTGAGGCCCAGGCAACCCGTTAACTCCTCAAGGGCTAGCACGTCCCCTCCCACACGCACACCCCTCCCTCCAGTCACTGCTAAGGCCCAGCGCTCTCCTCACCTCCCAGACACAACCTCCCTCCTGCTCAGTCCCCACCCCAACAGCCTGTACCACTGGGGGGGGGGGGTCACTGCACCAAATCCCTGCGAGTGAATGGGCAGCTGAGCCCCCCTGCACAGCGCAGCTCCACCCCACCTCCGGGTATCTCGCCCAGCTCCCTGCACTCACCAGTCACCTCGCCCTCCACTACCCCGGCAACCGGCCGGCTAGAAATGATGCAACAAAAAGAAAGCATGACAGGAAGCAAAGGGACACGCCTGCCTGCTGTAGCCAACCACCGCGCTCCATACACAGGCCGCAACAAGGCAGCCTCTGATTGGCCAAGCGGATCTCTTGGTAACTGTAAATCATGGGGGATGTGAAGACTGAAGAGATAGGGCGAGGAAAAGGAAGGAGTGCAGAAGTGACGTAAGTGG